AGCTGCCACCTGGAGCTGCTTGTCCCAGGGTCTGCCATCTTCCTTGTCCACCTCACTGCTTCCCGGATTCAGCTCTTTTGTTTGTTTGTTTGTTTGTTGTTGTATATTTTGTTTTTAGAGATTTTTCCCTTAGGGCATGTGCCTTCACCGAGAGAGAGAGAGAGAGAGAGAGAGAGAGGAGACAGAGAGATAGAGAGAAACAGACACAGTGAGAGGGAAAGTGGGAAATCATCCCCCGAGGGGTGTCCACGCCACGATCCCTTCTCCATTCTCCTCCTGGGATCCTGGGTATGCATGCATAGGCAACTGGCATGATTTTTGAGCCACCGGGTCTGGGACTCGAACCTCAGTTGGCTATGTGGGAGTCCAGTAACGTAACCACTATGCCATCTGCTGGTCCCTGGGCTCTGTAATTTTAATGCCAAATAAGATGCTCCCTTTGTGGGCCGCAGGGGCCATGTCATTGCCCCCCTCCAAGAGCGCATTCTCTTGGACGCTGTCCCCAGAAGTTGGAGTAAGCCTCACACAAGCCTTTGTTGGGGTTGTGCTGCTACAGGCCACAGTGACACCTGCAGTGACCTGGGGCAGCCCAGGCAAGGGCTGGACGGTGACACAGCTGTAAATCAGGTAGCCACAGCTATGGCTGGCCTTTCCCCGCCTTCCCCGTATCTGGGCACCATTTCTCTCACCTCCCCCTCCCCTGCTGGAGGTTGCAGCCTTTGAGCTAATCCGACCCGCAGGCTACGGACATCCCAGGACCTAGGAGCGGGACTGAGGCCAGGACGAGCTTGTAGAGGAATCTCAGGCTCGGAGGTCCCAGCCTTGCCAGTTCAAGTCTCCCAGGGAGACTGTCCAGGCTGAACCCCAGACCAACTGTCCTGAATCCCTGTGGCGAGGCGCGGCACCAGCACTTCTGAAACTCTCCCGAGTGGGAACACCAGTTCACCTGCTCAGTGGCTTTGGCTGCTCGTTAGCATCTGTCGGCAACTTTGCAAAACTACCCATGTCTGCACTTTACCGGGCCAATTAAAGCCGGCCTTCTAGCTGTGGGATTAAGCAATTTTCTCCAGTGATTTGTGTCATATCCAGGGCTGTCACCATTTGGGATTCTCCTCTGAGCATGTGGCTGTCATGATCCAGTCCCTGCAAAGGCCAGTGGTGGTGGTTGGAGGAGAGGTGTCCTCGGCTGGGTGTCTATGAAGGTCCCCTGCAGAGCTGGAAGGCCCCAGGGGAGGACAGGGGTCGGGGGTGGAGGGACTAAGTGGGGACAGGGAGACTGGAGTCTCACAGGACTGGGACTGGAGCCCTGGACTGGGAGGCAGGGACTTGGTCTTGTCTGGCTTGGCCCCTCACCAGTCGCTGGGGACGTGTAGCTGGTGGAGGGCATCACTCCAGACCGTGCATACCATAGTCAGGTTCGTGGGGGAATTTAGACAGACTTCTGGCTTTTGCATGGGACTTCAGGGACTGAGCCTGGGATCTGTGCATCCAGAAAGCTTCCTGGTAGTTCTGCCAGGCAGCCAGGTTTAGATGCCTCTGAGGTCCCTCTCGGCCTTGGCATTCTGAACAGGGAGTTGCAGAGCCCACGTCCCCAGGCTCAAGTGTACCCTTATTTAAGTAAATTTTTTTGGAGAGGTTTTTGCTATAGGGCACGTGCACTCACCAGAAAGACAGAGACAGACAGAAAGCAAGAAATCACCCCCTGGGGAAATGGCCACCCCACAATCCCTTCTGCATTCTCCGCTCAGGACCTTGGGGACGCACGCACACACACACACCCACACACCCCCCCGGCATGAGTTTCTAGCCGGCAGGTCCAGGACTCGAGCTGCCAGGTCCAGGACTCGAACTGCAGTCAACTACGTGGGAGTTCAGCAACGTAACCATTACACCATCTGCTGGTCCCTGTATGGCCATTATTATCTCTGTTTATTTAGCTATGTTTTAATTTTGCCAGAAGGCATGTGTACTTTGCCAGAGAGAGATAGACAGGGAGAGGGAGCAGGAGAAAGCAACCTCCAGTGGGGCGTGGTGAGGCTGTAATCCATTCTCTGTTTCTCTGTCCCGTTGGGATTTGGGAGCGCACATATGCTCAGGTGCTTTTTTTTTTTTTAAAAAGAATTATTTTACTTTATTTATTTTTAACTTTATTTATTTATTTATTTATCTATCTATCTATTTTAATTTGGCCAGAGAGGGACAGAGTTAAAGTGAGAGAGGGGAAGTAAGAAAGCAAGCCGTCTGGGTGCGTGCGCTAACCAGACAGACAGAGGGAGACCGAAAGCGAGAAATCACTCCCTGGGGGGATGGCCACGCTGCAATCCCTTCTCCTCCATTCTCCTCTCGGGATCTTGGGCACACACGCACAGGCGCCCAGCGTGAGTTTTAAGCCACTGGGTCCGGGATGTGAACCGTGGTCGACTACGTGGGAGTCCAGCGACATAGCCATTACACTAACTGCTGGCCCCCCTCAGTGTGCTTTTTAAGCTGCCTGGTCTGAGATTCGAACCATTCTGTAGGCCATGTGGGATGCGGCTCCTCTAGCCATTAGGCCACAAGGCCAGTTCTTTTATTTCTACCTTGCAATGATGGTTTGTGGCTTAGGGAGGTAAAACGACACCCAGGTTCCACACCTCAGCCCCAGCGTCCAGGCCTAGGTCATCCACGTCCACGTCCATCTCCAGCCCACTTCTTCCAGCTCACCAGCTCACCTTCCAGGATGGAGGCTTTTGTTTTTTTGTTTCTTTTCTCCAAAATAATTCACCTCAGAGAGACGTAGTTTTCTATTTTTTACAAGAATTTAAATATGTCTTTGAATGGTAGGCTTCGATGTCTGCCCAATTTTACATGCGGACTAGTTGACAAAAAGCTAGTCTGGGCATTCCTTCCTTCCAGAACGGCTTCTACCCCGCCCCTTCTGGCGAGGAGGTGCATCTGAAGGGAGACAGCGCCTCCTTCTGGGGGCCACAGAGCCCTGAGGAGAGGCGTTGGGCGAGATGAGGGGATGTTAACAGGGTGTTTCACCTCATCTGGGAGGCCGCCGCCTCGGTGTGCCCCGTTTGGCACTGAGGGCTAGGGACCCCGCCTCTCCAGGCCTCCCCTACCTCCGCAGACTGTGACCTGCTGTGGGATGGGCAGCTCCCCTCCCCTGGGCATCCCCGGAGGGCTGAGCAGCTGGCACCAAGGGTTAACCGGCAACCCGCCACCTCCCTCCTCCCTGCTCTGGTCCGCTAGCCTGTTGCCATGGGAACATGGCTAAAAATAAAATGGGCTCTCAAAGCCCAGCCCCATGCATAGGAGTCAAAACAAACTAATTAAAGCAGCCAGGCTAAAATGTGAAGATAATTACACCCTCACTCAGGAGCCAGTCGTGGGCATGGAAAACTCAGCAGGCCATCCCCGACGCAGGCCCCTGGGCCCAGCTCTGCCACGCAGGGCCGGCTCCTCGCCACTCAGGTCCCCCAGACCTAGAGGCACACTGGACAGTCCTGTTACCTCTCCCCAAAGGAGTAGACCAACCCCCTGCTTAAGATCCAGGGAGCACAGGCCACCACACCTAACATAGCCACAGCGAGGCTGGCTTCATGCTGGGCTTATGCCCATCTGGGGTGGCCGAGGAAAAGGTGGGGTGAACCAAAGGCAGAGGCTGGTCTTCCACATCCTCCTTGAAATTTCAGGAAGTCCCTACCAGCTCCGGGCTGCTTCTGTCCCTAAGATGTTTACACGAAGGCCTCAAGATAGCTCTGTAGTCTGCCCAGCTACCACCTCCCCACCCAGGTTCCTGGAGCCTGGGGGTGTCCTTGCATCCCCTCTGGCCCAAGACCATGAGGAGGCCCATCTTCTGCCCGCATGGATGCAAGTTCAGGCCACCTGACCCAGGGCTCTTTGTCTTACAGGACTATCAAGGTGGAGGTGTACGACTGGGATCGAGATGGCAGGTAAGCGAGCAGGAGGGCCACAGGTGAGTGAGCGGGTATACGGGCAGCCACTGTGCAGGGACGTTGGCCCTGCCATCTCATGGGGAGGGCTGTGCCCAGGCCCTGAGCCATGGCCACTCTGGGGGTGAGGAGGCCTGGGTCCTCCTGTGGGAGGGCTCCACTGCCACTGTGGCTTATCCCACCCAGCTCCATGAACCATGGAGGAGCTCAGTCCTGCAGAATATGGTGCAAGGGGCCTAAGAGGCCTTTCCCCAACTAGCTGCCGGGTGGCCACCCCGTGCCTGCAATGTTCTCAGCCTTATGATTTTCTGAAGTTGCATGTTTTAAGGTACAGTGGCCCCTGAGCATTCATGGCCATGTTCTCTGTGCAAGACCTGGGGCCAAGCGTTTTTAGAGCTCAGCCCTCAATGACTCCCTGCAGTCTAGTCGGAGGGCTGATCATACACACCCAGCCCTCGGCCCCTCAGAGGAGCTGTCTGCAGAGAGCAAGGCCTGGGGGAATGGGCCCCAGGAAGGAGCACATGAGTGGACTCGGGAGCACTGAGGCAGGGCCTGAGCCGGACGGTGCCTGGCTGCTGGGACGGGCATTCCCACTCTGAGTCTGTGGAGACCAGAGCCTTCGCCTTCTGCAGAGCTAAGTGCCCCCAAGGAGCCAGTGTTCCTGGGCATTCAGATGACAACAAGAGCAGGCCTCGGACCGGCAGGTGGCGTGGTGGTTAAGGTGCTGGACACTCCCACATGGTCAATCACGGTTGGAGTCCTGGACCTGGTGGCTTGCTTTCTCACTTTCTCTCTCTCTCTGGCCAAATTAAAATAAACAAATGAATAAATAACATTAAGTAAATTATTCTTTCTAAAAAAAAAGAGCAGGCCTCTCCAAGGTTTAGTCCAGAACCCTCAAAGTGCCTATTCATCTGTTGACCCAAATCCAAATATGTCACCCTGACTTCTGTGACGTCTCTATTCTGTGGCACCACCAAGGAGTGTCGTAGGGGGACTTCAAAATCCCATAATCTCCTTTGGCACCTCCCAAACCTGTGGAGTGGACAGGAACTGCTATGTAAAGCGCAGTGCAGCCCCCAGGTGGGCCCAGCCCCTCCCTAAGGAGTGCGCCTACCCGCCACCTTCCTGTAAGGTCTCTAGGGCTGACAGTGCTGCCGCTGCCCTGGTTAACCCCCTCTCTCCCTCCTCTTTTGCTCCCTCGCGGCCAGGCAGACCAGCTTCACGTTCTGCCCGCAGTTTATCTGGCCTTGCCGTCATTCCCCAAACCTCTCCTCTTCCATGTCACCCCAACAACCAGCAGGTGCTGCTGGGCCCCACCCTCGGGTGTTTTCGGAAGGCCGAGGGCTGTAAATAGGTAGAAGATTTTGTGGCTCCAGCGGTGCAGACCCCAGGGACGCCTCCTGGGTGTCGCTCTCCAGCCGGAATGCCCAGGCCAGCGGTCAGCACTGCCCTCGAGCAGGGACCGGGAAGCCCAGGGGAGCTGACCCCAGGGTCAGTGGGAGTTCTGGTTTTTAGCTGCCTTTGCTGCACTTAACATAACTCACATAAATGCACCTCAGAGGGTGTGGCCACTGCAAAAGACACCCCAGCTGCCTGGCTGGACTTGGCTCTAATTGTCTTTTTGTTGTTGTTAATTTGCTATAGGGCACGTGAGCTCACTAGAGAGAGAGGGAGGGAGAGAGAGGGCACGTGAGAAATCACTCCCTTCTCCATTCTCCTGTCGGATTTCAGGCCCGTATACACACGCACCTGGCATGTTTTTCAAGCTACTTGGTCCAGGATTCAAACTGCACAGTCGGGCGCATATGGTCTAGCTGCCTTAACCACCATGCCACTGGGTATCCCCCTCTAATTGTCTTTTAAGAAAATTATTTACTTAATTTTATGTCTTAATTCATTTATTTTAATTTGACTAGACACACACACACACACAGAGAGAGAGAGAGAGACAGAAGGGAAGTGAGAAAGCAAGCCACCACGTCTGGGACTCGAACCAAGGTTGGCCATGTGGGAGTGTCCAGCGTCTTAGCCACCACACCACCTGCTGGTCCCTATCCATTTGTTCTTCCATGTACTTTCCTTTTCCTTTTTTTTTTTTTAATGTTATCAGAAAAATGTCAAATATACAGGAAAGTAGAGAGTTTAATGAACGCCTCTAAGCCTATGACCTGAATTTAATCATTGTTAAGTTTTACTGTTTTGCTCTATCTCTACTTTGTGAATGTAGTTTAAAGTCAGTTATAGACAGGGGGCATTTTTACCTCTGAATATCTCGTTGAGAATGTCGGAAGAAAAGGGCATTCCCCCATGTAACTATAAATGCCATTATCGCTCCTGACTCATTGCACAGTTATTCTTGAATACCATTCAATATTCATTTCCTTCTCACATTCTCCCAGTCGTCCCCCACATACCTTTTACTGCTGGTCTGTTCAAATGAGAATCCTAGTAGAACTGGGTCTCATTCTTCCAGGGCCCTGCTCCCTGCTGGGTAACCCTGCGATTTCCTGCTTATGGGTCACACTGGGTTCGCCTCCCGGGAGCCTTCCTCTGCTGGCGTGTGCCCGGGAGTGGGAGGCCAGGCAGAGCAGAGAGCCAGGGGAAGGAACGTGTGAGGCAGGGCACAGCCTGGGCCCGGGTCTCAGCCACTGTCTTCCCTTGCAGCCACGACTTCATTGGAGAGTTTACCACCAGCTACCGGGAGTTGGCCCGCGGGCAGAGCCAGTTCAATATCTATGAGGTGAGGCGGGGTGTGCGCGGATGATAAATGGCTCCCAGGGGTTGAGGACCAGAGTGAGTCCCGTACTGGGCCGGGGGCTTTGCGTGTTTCCCTGTGAAGTGGGTGTTACCGTCCTATTCTGCGGTTACGCAATCAGTGACAGAGAGGCCTGAGGACTTGTCCCAAGTCACGTGGTTCAGTAAGGGGTGGGATGGAAGAAAACAACTCAGACTTGTCCGACTCCAAATGGCTGAGTTATAGCGCCCCCCAAAGGGCACTTCCTGTAAGACCGGCAGGGAACGGGAGCAGGGGCGGGGCAGAGACCTGAAGGCCTGAGTTTAGGCAGCCCTCTGCCTTCCATCGGAACAGTATGGGTCCTGCCAAATAGCTTAGCTTTCCTGGGAGGAAGGAGCCAGGAGTCAGATACTCCCTTTGCTCTAGATCTGGAGCTGCGCCTTTGACAAGGCCCCAGTCGCTCCGGGATAATAAACAGCAATTCCCCTCAAAGGACAAAGGCTGGACCTTTGGTGTGCGTGCCCTCCCCACCCGGGGCCCCGCCTTGCAGAGTTGGCACCAGCCCCGCTCCTGTCTGCGTGGCCTCCTGCCCCTTCTCCCTCTGTGAATGTTCACCAGCCCCACTTAACGACGGGTCCTTGTAGCCCTAACGACCACGTGGGTTCTCCTCCCGGCTCCACCACGTACTCGCTCTGCGACCCTAGCTAAGTGCCGAGCCCCTCTGTGCTGTGCACCTGGACATTAACTCCGTTAATGCGCTAGTGCCTGGCGCGGGGGCCAGCGCTGTCTTCTTTCCCGTATCGCAATCATCCCGCGAGACTGGCGTGATGGCACACTAGGGGTCACCCGGCTGGTGAGGCTGACAAGCGGGCCTTGGGCCCCAGCACTGCCGCTCACCCTTTCAATGCTTTGCTTCCCCGGCTGTGTCTCTGTTCCAAGGGAGGAGGTCTTGTGTTCCAACTGACAGGTGAGGTGACAGCCCTTTGGGTTGCTGCCCTTTGCTGGTCAGGACACTGCTGGCCACACAGTGGGTACGTGTTATACCATGGGTGGTCGGACGGGGAGGGGCGGGGCTTCAAAAACTTCGTAGAAAAATGTGTAGTATGAAAAACTACGTGTGGATTTCTAACCATTTTTTGCACCAAAGTAAACTCGTACTTGAACTCCATTTCCCATGAACTTTTTGAAGCCCCTGCGTGCCCCTGCGTGCAATCACACATTGAATTCCATTGAACATGGCTACTGTGAAGATGGAGCCCGAGGAGTCTCTTTGAAAAGGTTCTAATACAGGGAATGGCTTTGTTTTCTACATCTCCCCCCAGGCAGAGAGAGGCAGGCACCACCTCGCTCTGGCCTCTTTGGAGGAGGTTTTTAGGAAGGTGAGAGAAAGGGTCAGACTGCTGAGAGTTTGACTTCTAAAGATACTTCACAGGCTTGGGAACCAGCAGTTAGCGTAATGGCTATGTTGCTGGACTCCCACGTAGTTGACCGCGGTTCGCGTCCCGGACCCGGCGGCTTAAAACTCATAGCGGGCACGTGTGCGTGCGTGCCCAAGATTCCGAGAGGAGAATGGAGGAGAGGGGACTACGGTGTGACCATCCCCCCTGGGGGGTGATTTCTCGCTCTCTGTCTCTATGTCTCTCTCTGTCTGTCTGGCGAGGGCACGCACCCTATAGCGAAAACCTCTCCAAAAAAAAAAAAAACAAGATACTTCACAGGCCCAGAAGGGGGCGTGGTCTTCCAGGCTAAAAGCAGAAAACGCTGCGTTGACTGTTTCCCAGCTGCTGGCCTTTGCTTCTCTGCTGTCAACCAGAGAACCTGGAAGAGCTCTCGTCACACGTCCAAAGGCCAGCAGCTGGGAAAGGACTTCCACTCTGGCAGCCCCCGGGGCGGGCTTAGGACCATGGTGGGTGTCCTGGGAGCCCAACGTGGGCCGAGGAAGGTCTTCTTAGAGTCAGAATTGCCTGAAGAGGGGACAGGCTTCCGCTATGGAGACCTCCACCTGGGCCCTGGTCTCGCCTGGGTGTCAGACTCCTCTGTCCAGTTGTCTGCTGGCCCCTCCTTGGACTCAGCTTCTCAGACTGCAAGTGTGGGCAAGACCTCCCACAGCACTCCCCTCCTCCAGGCCAGCTCTGTCTCCTGTGTTCCCAGCACAGGGGCCCACCCCCAGGGGGGTCATCCCAAACACCTTCCACTCCTCGCTCCACATCCAGCCCACACCCGAACACTGCCCACTGTGCTGTAAAGGCATGTGTGCTTGCTGGAGAGAGAGAGCGAGAGCAATCACCTCCTCCGGGGATGGCCACGCTGCGATCCCTTCTCCTCCATTCTCCTCTCGGGATCTGGAGCATGCATACACATGAGCTAGTGAGTTTCTCAGGCCACCGGGTCCAGGACTTGAACTGTGCGCGTGGCCATGTGGAATCCAGCTGTCCTCATCACCACACCACACTGGCCCTACCGTCTGCCTTTCCCATTTGTTCTCTTCATCTCAGACTGCCGCTGTCACCCCCATCTTCTCTGTGCAGGGCTTTGCAACAACCTCTTAGTGGCCTTCTTGTCCCCTCTGCCCACCAGGTAGTGACAAGAATGTGCCACCCAAATGTAATCTAACCACATGGCTCCGCCCCTGCTTAAGCCCTGCCCCAAACACCTGAGCCTCCTGTGCACAGGGAGGCATGTGTGTGGCAGAGGAGATCCCGAGAGATGCCCTCATCCCGGCTGTGGTCTCCTGACCTACAGCGTAGCCGGGGCTCCTTCACAGGGGACACCGCACCCCCGCCAGCCACCTGCAATCGTGTATGGAGATAGAGACCCCTAGGAGCTGGCCCTGCCCTTCCCTCTGCCCACCTCCCATTTCAGCCTCCACCTGCCGTTGGAGGCTCTTGAACCTCTATGCTTCTCGGCCTCCATGGCCTTCATGCCGGTGCCTCCACCACCTATCTTCCCCTGGTTAGGACCTGCTGGTGCTTGGAGACTCCTTTTGGATGCTCCTCCTCCAGGAAGCCCTCTTCACCAGCACCCCCACTCTGCCCCAGGGACTGGACTAGGAACTGCTCCTCAGTGCTCCTGGGGCTCCCTGCGGCCTAGACTACGAGGCCCTCAAGGTGAGGGTGGTGTTTCACTCACTGCCATACCCCAAGCCCATCACAGGTCCTGGTCCCTAGGTGCCACTCAGTGCCCCTGCCCCCTCCCTGTGCTTAGGAAGGCAGATCCCAGCTATTTCGGGGGCCCTGGGAAAGGCAAAAGGAAAGGCGGCTCAGTGGAGTGGGCAGTTCCTGGGCTGGCCTCTGGGGGGTGCTGCCCCCCACATGGACCGGCACAGTGGCAGCCACTTAGAAAGAGGCTGGTCCCTAAGGGTGGAGGTGTGGAGCTTCCTCCGGGCCCACGTCATGCAAAGACCTGAGACGAGAACATGCTGTATTAGGGACCAGCAGTTAGCGTAATGGCTATGTCGCTGGACTCCCATGTAGTCGACCGCGGTTCGCGTCCCGGACCCAGTGGCTTAAAACTCAAGCCGGGCGTGTGTGTGTGCGTGCCCAAGATCCCAAGAGTAGAATGGAGGAGAAGGGATTGTGGCGTGGCCATCCCCCCTGGGGGGTGATTTCTCGCTTTCTGTCTCTATGTCTCTCTCTGTCTGTCTGGCGGGCACACGCGCCCTATAGCAAAAACCTCTCAAAAAAAAAAAAAAAAGCAGCTATATTAGAGTGGGAGTGTGGGATATGAGCTTATTTAGTGATCACCCAGAGGGCGTCAAAGAAATGTCCTTGTGGCCTAGTCTGCGGGGTACCCTCAAGGCCCCAGCAAGCCCGTGTCCACTCTCTGCTGCTGGGAGGCCTACTTTGGAGGAAAAGTTTGAGGTCAAGCCATGGTAGCGGGTGCGGCTAAGACATTGTGGTCCACTGGCTGGAACCCATGGGAGGCCCTGGTTCAAGTCCCAGTCCAACCCGAAGGCTGGTGCAGTTGTAGGTACCTGTTCCCCCAGTTCCCCCCAGCTCCTGGGAGGCTGAGGCAAGAAGATGATGCCAGTGAGACTCTCTAAAAAGAGAATGAATATTTATAATAAATAAAGCATGAGATGCACTCGGTTCTAATAGTGCAACACCTTCATACGATGAGTTGGGAAACTGAGGCATAGTGCCCCGTGGGGGCTGTTGTGCCATCCTCTTGACAGCTTGCTTAGGAAGCTTTTTGCGTGTGAACGTGTCTGTGAGCGCGCCGTCGCTGGGGTAGCCCACGTGCAGGTAGGGGGCCGCTCACCCTCAGCCAAAGGTGCTCTGAGGTGGCTCTGGGCTTCTCAGCACAGCTCTCTCTGCATCTCCTGCAGGCCCTCCGTTTCCACCTGTACAGCCTGCCAGCCCTCCCACCAGACCTGGGCTCTGTGCCCCAAAGCCTGTTCCTTTCTGTATCTCCTCCATTGCCCCTGACCGCTCCCACGCCTGCACTTCCACAGCCAGCATCTATGGTCGCCCCTTGCTAATGCCATCCCGGCCACGCGCAGCACCTACCCACCTCCCCGCAGGGCCCAGCACCTCTCACCTGGATGGCCATGGCAGTAAAGTAGTAGCAGTAGGGCCAGCAGGGGGACGGAGTTTGAAGAACCGGATCCCACATGGCTGATTCTACAGGTTGAGTCCTGGACTCGGTAGCTTGAGGACCACACCAGGCATGCGTGTGTGTGTGTGCGCGCGCCCAGAATCCTGAGAGAAGAGTGGAGGAGAAGGGATTATGGCATGCTGTCCCCCCAGGGATGATTTCTCACTTTCTGTCTCTCTCTCTCTCTGTGTGTCTCTCCCTGGTGAGCACACGTGCCCTATGGCAAAAACAACAACAAAAAAGTGGTAGCAGTAATAATAATAAATGAAATAGCAGCTAACATGTATATAATACTTACTATATCCCAAGCTCTGTTCTAAGCATGTTACTTATATTGACTCATTTCATTCCCACACCCTTCTTTTTTTGGAGAAATTTTGCTACAGGGTGTGTGTGCTCACTGGACAGACAGACAGAAAGTGAGAAATCACCCCCCGGGGGGATGGCCACGCCGCAATCCCTTTTCCTACATTCTCCTCTCGGGATCTTGGGCACGCATGCACACGCCCAGTATGAGTTTCAAGCCTCCAGGTCCAGGGCTTAAATTGCGGTCGGCCACGTGGGAGTCCAGCGATGTAACCATTACGCCATCTGCTGGTCCCCCACAACCTCCTGAAGGTAGGTACTAGGTACTTTTTATTTCCAGTTCTACAGACAAGGAAACTCAAGCGCACTGAGGTAAGGCCACACAGCTGGTGGGTAGCAGAGCCAGGCAAGCACTGCCTGAGTACCCCTCGTCCTCCCCTACCGAGTCCTAGAGCCTGCTGTGGTCTTGGTCCCTAGCTTAGAGGTCACCAGAGTCCCCTGCTGGCTTCTGGGCGACATTCGGACATGCCACTTGCTGTTCTAGGCTCTCCTACTCTTGCTCCTTCAGCTCCTCTGACGCATTCACCCTGCGGCTTTCCCATCAAATCCTGCTGCCCCTCCAGCATGTCCCGACATGGGTGTCTCCGTGCCCAAAGCCTTCCTGCCCACAGTCTGCCTTCAGTCCTACCTGCCCAGGGAAGCATTGCTGCTCTTCCTAACTGGAGCCATCTTTCCTTCCTCCGACTCCCTTGATCCTTCTCTGGCTCGCCTTTTTGTGTGGCCCTTGTCACTTACTGCTCTGAGGACAGATGTTCTTTCTCAATCTGGAGTGACGATCCTAAGGGAAAGGAAATGGTCCCCCCTACCCCGACCCCATCAAGATGTGTTAAAGAGACGTGTGGGTATTTCTCATCAAGGTGGCCCCAATGCATGGACACCTGGCCTAGGGACAGGAAACCTCGTTTCTAATCCCGTCAGAACCCAAAGGCTGGGCGACCTTAGGCAAATCGCTTGGTATCTCTGTGCCTTGGTTTCCTTACCTGTGGAAGAAGATATCAATACTCACTCAGACAAAAGAGGCCATGGCTAAAGATGCGGCCAACGGCGCCTGCAGGGAGACAGGAGATGTGGGCGAGCAGAGAGGAGCTCACCAGAAGCTCACGCTGACGAGTGGCCGAGTTGCTATGAAAAGTGCCCTGAAAGGGGCTTCGACTTTCCACGTTTGTTTGTTTGTTTTGTAAAGAAAAGTTGTAGAGGCTCAAGTGAGAATACAAATGCGGTATCTTAGTCTATTCCTGCAAGGCCTCGATGCTTTTCATGCACGTCCTTAGCCGGACACTCCCAGAGATCGCTCTCTGAGGAGTGACAACTGCTAGGAATCATCGTGCCTTTTTATTGAAAATGTGATACATGCAAGTAAATGGGTGAGGGGCAGTAAAAGATTTACTCTAAGGAACAGGGTATACAAAGCATGGAAGCAATAATTATAAAACATGCTATTTGTCTTGTTAGCTCAGGTAAAGTCAATCACAGTTCTCAGGATGAGGAAGTCCATTTGTCTGCTGTATCTTCTTCTTAGATCTTGATTACTGGGAAGGGTCTTTTGAAGAGGGGGCTTGCAGGATGTTTGATAACTTCAGTCCCGGGCCAGGGCGATAAGTTGCTGGTTACAACGACCTAGATGGAAATCTTGTCTTGCTAAGTAAAGACACAGTTAATATATGGACTATCTATACATTACAACAATAGAGGGTGAGTCTATGATCTTATATGGGAAAGGAAGATGATCTTGTAGCTCCGGAGACAACACAGGATGTTTTATTAGCAGTTTTTCATAGTCAACAGCACATAGATGAGAAACTCTTTGTAGTTGAAAGCTACCTGTTGCTTTAGATAAGAGCTCCCAGCTAAAATGGTTAATCTTTCTGTGGAGCCCTCAGCTTTGTTTATTCTGTTGTCTCAGCCAGGTTTTTTCCTCTAATAAATCTGTGGGTTCCTGCATTTTGTTTGTTGAGTCCTGTCAATTAGTGAGTTCTTTTGTTTTATCTCTGAGTCTCTGTTATGTGGTGAATGTGCTGACTTAACTAGCGTGAGTTAACTTGGCCTGTAGCTTTAACAAGAGGTATGTAAGTAAAACTAACCTTAAACTAACTTAGTCTACATATGCTTCTAATGCTAATTTGGTTTATACTAACTTAATCTATATGTTAATTTTGGCTTAAAAACAGACAGGTGGGGGAGTCTTAAACTTCCTGATCCTCCTGTCAGTCTTAGGGAACCACATTCCTACAAGATCACTAATTGGCTTTATTGCAATGGTTGGGGGTGATGTTTTACCCTTACAGGGTACCGTAACAACAGTCGAACTCACAGCAGAGAAATTGAACACCGGCCAGTTCAAGGACACAAGGGAGAGCTCGTAAACTGGGCCTTGCCTCAGTTTCTTCCCAGTCCAGGCCTTGCCTTAGAATGGGAGGCAGCATCCTTACCAGCTTGTGTTGCCTGCATGGCCCCGTCAGGGTAGTTTATAAACAAGGGAAATTTCTGTCTTACAGTTTAGGGGCTGGGAAGTCTCTCCCAGGCACTCACATCTGGTGAGGGGTTTCCGCTTCAAAGATGAGGCCTTACCTGCGTCCTCACACCACAGATGGGCGGGGTCCCTCAAGGCCTTCTATAAGGAGAGCCCTCGTGACCTGACCCCCTCACAAAGGCCCCATCTCTTGAGCTCGTCACCTTGGGAGTGAAGGTTCAAATCTGACTTTGGGGGACAGCAACATTCAGACCACAGCACACAGTAAATGTGAACGTCCCACGGGGCTCCCAGGCAAGTGGCCGGCCTCACTTAGCCGGGGTTTCTCAGCCTCCGCACTGTGGCTATTTGGGACTGAATCATTCTGTGTCGTAGGGGGCTGTCCTGTGTGTCGTAAGACGTTAGCATCCCTGGCTTCTGACCACTCCCCTAGTTGTGACAACCAAAACTATGTCCAGACATTACCCAATATCTCCTGGGGGACAAAGTCACTCCAGTTTTTTTTTTTTTTAAAGAAGTATTCCACTTTATTTATCACATTATTATTATTATTTTAATTTACTACAGGGCACACGTGCTCACCAGTGAGAGACAGAGATAAAGGGAGAGAGCAAGCTGCCAGGTCTGGGACTTGGTCAGACATGTGGAAATCCAGCGCCTTAACCACCATGTCACCTACTGGCTGGCCCCTTCTTTTAAAAAAAAAAAAATAAATAAAATCTGTTGGGTCTGACAGGTGGCCTGATGGTTAAGGCACTGGACTCACACGTGGCTAACCACAGTTTGAGTCCCAGACCTGGCAGCTTGCTTTCTTATTTTCCCTCTCTCTCTCTCTGGTCAAATTAAAATAATAATAATGGATACAATTAAATACTCCCCGCCCCCTTTTTTTAAAAAAGAATGATCTTATTTAACTTTATTTATTTATTTATTTTAATTTGTCCAGTGAGAGACAGAGTGAGAGAAAGATAAAGAGAGAGAGAAAAAGAAAGTGAGAAAGCAAGCCGCTAGGTCCTGGACTTGAACCACGGTTGGCCATGTGGGAGTCCAGCGTCCTTCACCACCATGCCACTTGCTGGCCCCATAAATTATCCTTTAGAAAATAAAATAAAGGGGCCAGCAGGTGGCACGGTGGTTAAGGGCGCTGGACTCCCACATGGCCAACCGTGGTTCAAGTCCAGGACCTAGCGGCTTGCTTTCTCACTTTCTTTTTCTCTCTCTCTTTATCTTTCTCTCACTCTGTCTCTCACTGGACAAATTAAAATAAATAAATAAATAAACATATTTAAAAAAAAAAGAAAAGAAAAGAAAATTTGCCAAGAGCATGAACACTTGCTGGAGAAAGACACAAGGGGAAAGAGAAAGAGACGTCACACAGGGAACGGTCACACTGCAGTCCCCCTCTCCTTTCTCCCTCCTCTCAGGAGTTTGCACACACATGCACACACAGCCAGCATGGTTTTCAAGCCCCTGGGTCCCGGGCATGAATCCCACAGTCAGCCATGTGGAATCCAGTCGCCTTAACCACCACACCTGCTGGTCCAACATCCCTGGCGGAAACTATTGAGTTAGCTCACCCACAGTGTGTGTGTGTGTGTGTGTGTGTGTGTGTGTGTGTTTTGAAGAGAGATTTTTGCTATAGAGCATGTATGCTTACCAGAGAGACAGAGACAGGGAGAGAAATGCCCCCCCGGGGGATGGCCAAGTCGCCATCCCTTCTCCTCCATCCTCCTCGCGCGCTGCTGCGGGTCTCACCCTGTGCTTTATTCTCTGCCGACAGGTCTGGTTTGGAAGTTAAGGCCGGCCCAGGAAGGACAGTGAAGAAAGTTCTAACTGCCATATGAGGGCAGTGGTGGGACTGAGAGGGAGCCTCACAGGCCATGGGCGAGTCCTGAAGGAGGAGGGAGATTAGATCAGTTGTGAGCAGAGAGGAGGGCATTTCGGGTGAGAGGAGCAGCCTGAGCCAACTCCAGAGACAGGCACAGACAGGGCCACTTTGCGACATCTAGCCCTCTTCGGCTACACGGGGTGGCAGGCAGGTGTGTTTGGGGGAGCACTGGGAAAGAAGGTTAGGTAAATATTATTCTTGGTGTGTGCATCGTGGGACGCCGGTCTAATCAGGGAGTACACTTGTGTAACCCTAAATGCTGGTCTCCCAGAAACCTCCCTAAACCCTAGTCCCCTAGCCCGGGGGTCTTTACACCCCATCCTCTGCTGGGGTGGGGCCACACCCAGGAGACTCTGGAAGCTCTAGGGGCCCAGCCCTGATTGCTTGGAAAAGCTCCTTCTTACCTGGGAACTGGTTTTTCCTGCAGGTGGTAAACCCCAAAAAGAAAATGAAGAAAAAGAAATACGTGAATTCTGGCACGGTGAGTAACCACCCCCTCTGCAGCCAGGTGTGGACATCCTGAGCCCCAAGCTAGGTCTGGCGGCTGGAGTCACATGCTCCTATGTGTGTGTGTGTGTGCAGCATGTGGGGACAGACCTGGGCGTGAGGGGGTGGATGGTGCAGACCATACCGCGGGCGCTGTCCACAGAGTGAGCAGTTGCAGAGAACGCCCATGGGACTTCCTGCAGGAAGAAAGAGGAAAAGGGAGCGTGTTTACTGTTGGGCCCTGCTCTGAGAAATCCCCCAGGTCGGTGCTTTTCATAGGACATTTCCCCAGAGGCAGGTATTATATCTTCTTGTCATGAAGGAGGAAGCCACGGCTAGGGCAGGGACCTGACTCAACCAGGGCCACATGCTGGAACTCCAGAGATGGGACTCCAGAGCCAGCAGCTGTCCAGGCACAGTCCCTGCTCACCCATGATGACTGCTGGAGTGACACACCAGCCCTGTGGCTTCCAGGGGCTGGACTTCATGACATTTGTATGTTTATTCAACAAATATTTACTTAGCGCTGCCGTGGGCCAGGCACCATGCCAGGCATAGGAGATGCGGCCAGGAATGACAGAAATCCTTGGTGCTTATATTCTAGATGGGGGAGACAGACAACACACACACACACACACACACACACACACGGAGAGGTCTTCACAAAGTTCATGGAAAATGCATATTATGAAAAAAACTATGCTTGGACTTCAATATTTTTTTACACCACAATGAACTTGTACTTTAATTCCATTTTCCATGAACTTTTCAGAGTCCCCTCATGCCAACCTGTACATGTTGGGTAGTCATGAATGCTCTGAAAAAGAGGTGTAACAAGGTCCAGGGGTAGCGAATGGAGCAAGTACTGCAGATTTGGGGAAAGGAAATTGCAGCTGCAGGGAATAGCACATGCAGAGCCCCTGAGGTGGAGCACACCATCTTGCTGGACACTCCCAGGCCAGTGACCCAAAGGAAGTCCAACCCCTTGCCATTCAACAAAACACCAGAGGCAAAGTGGTTGATGAGGGAGGAAAGGAGAATGCACTACACTGTAGCCACCCTGGGAAGACAAGTGAGAATATTTGTGACCAGTTAGCCAACTTCTAGATGCTTTCCTAGGGCCTGGGGAGGCCTGAGCCTAATGGCTCTCTATAGGAATGTGTAGAGCAGGTTAATGTTTAGCTGGGGGGAACAATCGTGTGATTAGTGTTTGAGATAGGAGTTTCAGTCTTAGCAGAGGGGACAAACATTCATCTTGAAGACGGGAGTTTCAGTTTGTGGCTGGGGCAGAGTTCCAGTTTGTGGCTGGGGCAGGCCGTCCCTCATTGTTTCAAGCTCCAGGTTGACCATTTGTCTACTTGGAGTTCTTGTGAGATATCTCAGCAGATCAGGCAGAGGGAAACAGTTTGGGATTTTAACGAGATGAAGCTAGTCCGAGTAAGCAGGCTCCTGTTACGGCAGTGCTTTTTTTTGGTGGGCGGAGGTTTTTGCTATAAGGGCGCGCATGCTCACCAGAGAGACAGAGAGACAGAAAGCAAGACATCACCCCCCAGGGGGGGATAGCCATGCCGCAATCCCTTCTCCTCCATTCTCCTCTCGGGATTTTGGGCACAGACGCACACGTGCCCGGCATGAGTTTAAGCCACCGGGTCCGGGACGCAAACTGTGGTCAACTACGTGGGAGTCCAGCGACATAGCCATTATGCTAACTGCTGGTCCTAATAGTGCTTTTATAGGACAAGTCACTGTTTTGCGGGGCAGACAGACCAAGCTCATCCTCTCTGTGTTCTCTCCCCATGGTAGGGGCCCATGGACCCATCGTAATGCACCCAAGCTTAGTCCTTCACTTCCGGCACACTGCACTGCAATGCAGACATTGAGGGCTCCTCAGAGGGACCCTATTTTCTGCTTGTAAATGGGGCTCACGAGTCAGCCCCTCCCGGCTTACTGCCCAGGGCAGCTGTGACAGACAAGTGGGAGACGCAGCTTAGAAACCACGAAGTGCTCTCTCTGCCCATTCAAGGAGACTGACCGCCACTTTTCTGATTGGAACTGCTTCCCAAGTGGGAGCTTGGAGTCCTATGAGGGGACTTCAAAGAGTTTGTGGTGAAAATGCAATTAATATACACGTTTCTTTTCATATAAAAAACCCCAAATGTTTGATTTTTTCCTAGTACACATTTCCCTCGAACCTCCGGAGACCCCTCGTATTTCCTTTGTCAGTAGCTGCAGCGTTTCTCGTAGGGGAAGCTGTCAGCGTTTGGGCAAGGTTATCATCACCTCACAGGACTTCCTCATGTATAATGGGATGTTTAGCACCCCGGCCTCTCCCCATGCCTACCAGCAGACCCCCGTCCATTATGAGGACCCTAGACTCTCCCTTAAATTCCCCAGTGCCCCTAGGGGGTGAAGCCCCTTCCCCTTAGCTATCTAGCTAACACTAAGGAGACTTGGAAACCATGATCTCACGCAGTCTTCTGACCCCAGAGATGATGGCCCAGAGAGTAGATGTGACTTGCCCAGGTCAAGGTGAGGACGGAGCAGTTCTGGGCATTGTTCTTTTTGACTTTCCTTTGCTCCAGCATTTCCCAATCTTTGCTATTAAAAAAAAAAAAAATCACCTGAGGGGTGAGAGGTAGCAGCAGGTTGCATGGTGGTTAAAGCACTAGACTCTCACGTGCTTGGGAGTGGTTTGAATCCCAGACTAGGAGGCTTAAAAATCACACCGGGGGTGTGTGCATGTGTGCCCAAAATCCCAGGGGGAGAATGGAGAAGGGTTGGGGTGTGTCTGTCTCCCCACGGGACGATTTGTCACTTTTCCCCTCACTGTCCCTCACTGCCTCTCTCCAGCAAATGCATGTGCCCTATGGCAAAAACCTACAAAAAAAAAAAAAATCACCCAGGATCTGGGGTGCTTATTAAAGTACAGCCTGAGCTGATGCCCTGGGGTTTTATTTTAGGATGCCCAGACTGGGGCCCCGCAATCTGTGCTCCTCATGTTTTACAGTATCTACTGTGTGCAGAGGCCTGCAGAGTTGTTAAATGGCCAAGAGTCAAACTGCATTTCTAACCAGCGTCAAGGTGCTGCTGGTGCTGCTGGTTCAGGGACCACACTTTGGGTAGCAAGTCCCTGGGTGAACCAGGCAGGTTAGGGAAATACTTTATTTTTATTTATTTATTTATTTATTTAGAGAGGTTTTTGCTATAGGGCGCATGCGCTGGCCAGAAAAAGAGAGACACAGAGAGACAGAAAATGAAAAATCATCCCCCCCAGGGGGGATGGTCATACCACAATCCCTTCTCCTCCATTCTCCTCTCGGGATTTTGGGCACGCACGCACACGCGCCAGGTGTGGGTTTAAGCCACCGGGTCCAGGACTTGAACCACGGTCATGGGAGTCCAGCGACATAGCCATTACGCTGACTGCTGGTCCAGGAATTATGACAGGGCCCAGGCTGGGAGGAAGGCGATGTGAGAGATGGTCAACTCTGGCTGCAATTTAAATTCACGAGAGGCACTAAAGAAAGATCTCTGAAAGTCTAGCGTAGCTCCAGCCCAGGATCCCCACCTGCCTGATGTTTTAAATGCTCCCTGGGGAGTCCATCAGAGTTGAAATCTCTGTGCCAGTCCCTGCCTGGAGAGTCTGAGCCACCGCATTAGGAGGGAGGCTTTGTCATTCACCTGGTGCCTAACACCGTGAGTGCAGAGCCCAGCTCAGCACTCGCAGACCCTCCCATTTCTCAGGCGGATGCCTCATCAGCTCTGCCTGGCTCTCCTAGCACTGATAAAGATGGCTGAATCGGGGCCAGTAGGGGGCTCCCTAACTACAGGTTGATTATTCCTGAGACAAAATGCTCGGGACCAGAAGTGTTTCAGATTTAAGGTTGTTTTTGCTTTTGCTTCCCCCCGCCCCCAGGTTTTGGAATATTTTACACACACAGTATGTAATGAGATATCTTGGGGATGGGACCCAAGTCTAAATAAAGTCATGTGTTTCATATACACCTTAGCCATATATCCTTAAGGTCATTTTATACAGTGTCTTGTATCCCGACGTTTTGACTGACCTGTCCTATGAGGTCAGTGTGAAATTTTCCACCTGTGGCATCATGTTGGCACTGAGGAGTTTCACTTGGAGCATTTCGGATTTCAGGTTTTCGGATTACGGGTGCACAGCCTGTGATGCATGCAGTCCATGTTGAATGCTCTGTAAATACCAGCCCTCACATCACGTCGTAACCATCTCCCTGACCCTGAGCCCCCCACTGACCAAGCCCCCTTCTGTTTTCAAGGTCACCCTGCTCTCCTTTGCTGTGGAGTCGGAGTGCACCTTCCTCGACTACATCAAAGGAGGGTGAGAGAGATGGGACCCGGCTTCTTCAGCCTTAGGGAGAGGGATGGGGCCCCATGCACCAGCACAACCAGCTCTGGCCCCCCACCCTGGTCTTTTTGAGGCCTTGTCAAAGCCTAGGGTGCTGAGGTCTGAGCAAACCCTCAGTGTCTGCGCACCCAGAACCTGCACCCCCGGATCCTGAGCAGCTGCAGAGGGAGCTCCTGAGCCACGGAGGCCAGCTGGCTGTGCGGGGGTGGTAGGGACTCTGTGACAAAGAGAGCCCTGGGCTGGGGGAGGTGGACAGAACCCTGGTGTAGGCTCCAGGGGCCCCTCTTGGCCATGCATTTGCTGGATTACTGTGGACTCGTCATTTCCCTTCTGTGGGTATAAGCTCCCTGCCCTGTGCACAAAGAGATTGAAGAAGGCTCCTTCCAGCTCTGAGCTCCTGCTACCTCGGATCTTCTGGGCCCAGGGGAGGGGAAGTGCTGCACCTGCTCTGTTACCAGGGTCCAGTACGGGGTGGCGAAGCTGGGGCATGAGCCAGGGATGATCCTGGGGGTGGTAGGTGGTCAAACAGGAGTTCAAAGAAAGAACCCAAGGGGATGGCATCCTAGCCAAGGCCAGCAGAAGCCAGGAGGTTCCAGCCAATAGCTCATGGAAAGTGAGCCTGGCTCCAAGGTGAGGACCTGCCAGCGTGCTCCCTGCCAGGACAGGTGCCAGGTCCGGGCGTGGGCAGCCGAGAGCCCGCAGGTGCAGGCAGGTGAGTGACTGCACCTGTCTGGAAAGGAGACAGGCAGGGGCAGCTGCCAAGGGCTCATGCATAAACCAGGCACTTGGCTGCCTGGTTCTCCAGGGCAGAGGGAGAGGGTTGGCCCTGGGAAGCCACACGCACTTTCCCATGACACCGCTCCCCACTGCCTCGAACTTGCAGTCTCGGAGTTACAAGCTCTCCTACCCGCTGAGCACACACCGTCTCTCTGGTCCCCCCAGGAGGCTTTTCTGCTCCTACCAACCCCTCCTCTGAGCTGATTCCACTTTCTGCACTTCCTCCCTTCCCAGTAGCCTTCTCTATCCCATTCAATGACCGCCCCTTCATTCTATAGCACCTGGTCATTTCAGACCGTCCTCATCCTGTGTCCCCGTCTCTCCGTGGACTTACAGGACACAGTGAGCAGGCCAAGGACACTAACTGCTTTAATAGAACTTGCCCCAAGCCACGTGCCTCGTTGGTGGCAGGTCTTTTTCTCACAATATGCTGCATTTCATTCCACATTCCACGGGCGTTCCTGATCTTGGCACTGCCTGTCGCACAGCTGCCAGGCAGGGTGTGACGAATTTGGAGACTGATGAGTTAAGGGACTGCATGCTCATGGGGCAGGAGCCCCCAGAGGCTCAGCTGCTGGCAAAGTGAGTGCTGCCTGTACTGGGCAGGTTCGAGCCTTGAGCCAGCCCTCTCCACCCTCCCTGTAAACACCCAAGAGAGCCAGAGTGAGAGCACGGCGTGCGTGTCCAGGCAGGAAGTTGATGGAGGCTTTTGTCTAGGGATCTTCTCCCTGGACTTGCCCGCCTGGACCCAGGAGGAAGGGTCTGGGCACCTCTGCTCCACGTCAGATGGGGGAGCTGACTTCTCAGCAGCCTGTCTCTACCCGCAGG